GGGGAACCTGTCCATACCCAGGAGGGAGGCTGCCAAGAAGGAATTCACATTAATTTGGAGGACGTCACACAATTTTCATATCTTTCAGGAAGCTCAGCAGCACTAAAGCGTAAGCGCTTACAACACAGGGGTATTGATCGTGGTCAATCGTTAATTCTTTTTGTTTGCCGAGAAGCTGGTTTTGACTATTTTATATAATTGATGTAAGCAGAGGAGAAGCATCTTAGATAAGGCCAAGATTCCTTCACTGTATTATGCTCAAATATGCAATTTTATAACACTGCTGCAATTTGGGGTGAGGGCGGGGGGGGAATTGTTGAGGTATTACAGAAACCAGGGAAAGGGGGAACTGAGTCACAAATAAAAAATGTCTCCTCCAACAAAATTCCCCTAAGAAATAGTAACTCTACCATTGCCTGCCCCCCTCAAATTTATAACATTCCAGACAAGTGTTGCATCTTAAATCAGCTGAAGGTATAACAGCATTAGCTCTCCAGGAAAGCTAATAAAGGAATGGGCAATAAATAGTGTGGATTAGAGAACAACAAGGATGAAGCAAACGTCAATGAAATAAGTAACATCATGGTGAAAGCTAACGGAAATCTGTTCTTCTATTGCTGTGTTCATTCAGCACACAGGAGAAAAAAAACCAGCACAGTCATGAAGAAAAACTACTGAAAAATACTTCAGTAAATTAAGACATGTCAGTGAATGATTATTTTTTTATTCCCTGATAACTCCAAAATTTGTTTTGATGTTACGCATTGTCAGAGCATCAGCAGTATTAAGGCAACTATGCATTATAACCGAATTGAAATTATTACAAAAATGTATATATGCTTTAAAACAACACATTCATTGATCATCATTTACATTTAAACTGCAAGAGCAAAAGAGGTATATTTTTTCTGCAACAGCAGACCAAAACAATTGTCATGTATTTCTCAGGACGAATGTAAAAAACCCACAGGACTTTACTGCAAAAAATAAAACCATGTCTGAAACCTAAGATCTGAAAACTTATGCTAAATATACTTCCAATAAAGCAGTATCTCCCAAGCTTTTTGAACTGTTAAAAAACTCGGTAAACCCTCTCAGCATCTGGAGCCTAGTTTTCAACTCTGGAGAAAAGAGCAGAAGTGAAAAGAGCCTGTCCGTTTCCAACTACAGCAGCGATGCCAGAGGCACAAATTTACAAAGCTAGCACAGTGTGATGGGCACTTTTGCATCAATAGAGAAAGAAAATGAACTAGGATTCTGCAGATGCTTTGGCTGAAGTCTCAGGAAGAGACCTAGTAAGGGACCATGTGAGCCACATCTGGATCTAACCGTTCCAGGAATTTTCACTTTTAAGAATTCGAAAAATCATTGGTTTCAGAAAGAAAGCGAAAGGACATTGCGTGATGGTGCGTACAAAATTTTCACTATCAAATTACAGTAAATATACTGCTTTGTCCCTTAAATATTGTGTGAAATCAAGTTTATTAGAGCACAAGAGGCGCAAATCCTATTACGAGGCCTCTGCCTGAAAACTTTACTGCAGAGAGTATTTTTCTTAAGGCGTAACAAGTAACAAAAAAAGCTATACAGAAAAAGGATTATTTTTCCCTAACATAATTTTTCTGAAGCAGCAGCGAATTTTTAAATTTATTTCTTCCAAATTATAAAATATTAAATTAAAAAAAAAAATACAAAAAGCTGAATGTCACACACCCCACGGTCTTCCTAGGAATTAAAAATCAGCTGGTAGCCTTCACTTCTCATACCTCCTTACTAAAAAAGCACTAGGGAATTGCTGACAGGGTTCAGCATTGTGCAGAATATTAAATATCTTTTTTGCAATACCCTGGTGACTCTTGAGTCTGTCTCTTACAGCACCATATGTACAGCTGTGTTGGAAAGAGGAAGCTATTAAATATATTAAAAAGTAGAAATATTACCAATAGACACTTCATCAAATAACTGGATCTCATTCATCCCCAAACAAAGCAAGAAATGTTAAGGTTACATCAACATGAGAAAATAACTCTGGATTTAATAACACCACAAGCCTGTTGAACATATTTGAAAGTAAAAACATTGCTTAATAAAACAGATTAGTGTTTCTGAAACAATGAATATAGCTTTCAACCATCAGAATGCTTTGGTAATAAAGACATTGGACTTGGTCTTGAAAGGCACTGGGTATCTCAGTTCCCACACCATAGTCACGGCTAAAAGGTCTTCGGGTCCAAATATATTACCCTTAGTTTACTGCCAACACAGGACTAGGAACATTTTGTATCAAAAAGGATTTAATAAAAGGAAAAAAAGAAAGAAATATATTCTTGAAAGTTTGCCCTCGTCCGACATACACGTACAAATATTGCATCCACATCTCCAACTAATGCTTAAAGGAGTCAGCAACAACAGACACACATTCCACAAAGGCATACAAGTAGACAACCCTGATAACTTCAAAATCCTCTAAACGCTGAATTATTTTTTCAAAAGTGAGTTTCAAAAAGGACATTTTCTAGGTTTCCAAGCACCTAAAGACACTGACAGGAAAACTGGACTTTCAGTGGCTCCTATCTCATAAGAATTTAAATCAACATTAAGTGAGTATGTGCTGCCAAAAATCCCACTAACCACCTATCCGCACTTTTACATGTATATAAGACTTTTACAAGTACGGCTGTGCGGCTCTAGAAGCCTAACACCCATCAACTTTTAATAAGATTTGCAATCTTAAATGCTCGAGTAACTTCTGAAAATAGGACTTCGGCTGTTTGTAAAAATTTCCCCATAGGCCCCCATCTTCTGCAGTACAGCTCGCAGGCAGAGCGCAGCTTTCCCGGGGAGCCCTGGTAATTTCAGTGGTGGTCTAGGGAAGCACCGCTGCACGTTTACATAGCGTGAGTTCCTCTCTCACACTTCGGAGAAAGAAATGAAAAAATAAAGAACACCTATGAAGCCCTGCTAAGCGCAACTTCATATAAAAATACTGAAGAGATCTGAATGTTTATTTAACTATCATAAGGACTGTGTTAATTACCCCACTTATGAATTTTTGCAATAATTTTGTAAGACTCCAATACTACTTTTGCTAAAATTGCTGCAAAAGCGTACGGTTCCCCAAAGGGAAAAGAGGTTTTGTTACTCACAGTAATACATGAATAATTTACATATTTTCCTCCAGTTTCTGAATATGTATTTCGCCCTAGACTTACGAAGTTTTTACAGTTAGCATTTCTGCTTCATTCACTCATCTTTTTTTCTGTAGAGCAGCTAGTTGCCTACGACTTGGAAGATAATTACAACTGATGATTAAAGAATATTTAAGATGCATGTCTAAAGAGCACTGAAACTTCTTGAATCAAGTGTAAATAGAAATTAAGACCCTAAGGCTACAGGCATTACCATGTATTGCATCAAGATAACTGGTTTTTCCTTAAAAAGATAAGCAATTAAAAAGCATAATATTTCAGACCATGAACCCATAAGAGATTCTGCATGGACACGTTGTTCCCTATTATATGGTTAATGAACATATTGTTTTGCTAAAAATTTAGTTTACAAAAAAAAAAACAAACACCCAAACACCAGGGCAAAGACAGCTTTGACTTGTCTTTGGTGGTCCTTCAACCTCAGCCACTGCACATAAGCAGGACCAGGTTTTGAGATGGTTTCTGCAGAAACAGTTGTCTGATCAACAAGAGCTCGCTGGTGTCGCTGTACTGATTTCTGCCTCCAACTGCCCGCTCCGACTCTGCTGGGGGTTAACGCCTCCCCAGCACAGTCAGTGACAGAAAACGATGCCAGCCTCTTAGGCACCTTGATGCAAAAGTCCAGCATCTTACCATAGACCCACCATCACCAACAGAAGAAATACCAGACTTCAATTTTAACAGCTGAGATTTGGGCACAGGAGCCTTTCTACTCTACTGAAGAGACACTAGAGGAGGAAATGCACCTGGGGCAGGGACTTTTTAACCACTGCAGAAAGATTTGTCAGCGCTCATACGTCACTGCCTACATAGAGCTAGCCTGGAGGTCTCCATCCCGTTCTCGGACTACTTCTGTGGGACAAGCGTAGCTAAAACAAACACAATTCACGTAGTCACAGGCATGCCTGCAGTACGCTTACACCTACAGTTTATTCCCATATCCGTTGGAGAATAAATTACACTGGTACTGGACATCTTCATGCAACCATGTCCTAACTAGAAATTATAAACAATTTTACTAATTTAATTGAAAAACCCAGAGTTAGATATGTTCACAGTTCAGCCTAATAAACTGCTGTGATGCTTGGGTTTGTACTTTTTTTTTTTTTGCATTCCAGTGCCAGAATTTGCTGGCAAATAGCAATTTTATTTGACAAAGGCTTATGTAGGTAATGATGGAGGCTACTACAACAGCAGAAATTTCTCTTCAGTCTTCTCTGTTGAGGCCTGCTGTACAGAGAAGGCTGCAGGATCACGGCCTAAGACTAATCAGGGTCAGAAAAGCACTGTGCTGCTGTGGTAAGCCTTCATCAAGTCACAGTTCATTGACCACTAAAGCATAAATATAAAATAGTTAAAGAGGTCTGGTTGCAGCACCTGAAGGAGAACATTTTTAAAGAGAACACCACCATGCTTCGATGGAGACTGAGTCTCATACATGGTTCAAACTGAGGTAGGAGTTGAATGGGGATATGGCCCTGAGCAGAACGAAGAAAAATCTTTAGAAAAACAGACTGTAATGAGTTCATGTTGCACACAAGAATTTGTCAAAAAACGTTAATGTTATTGAGAGCCCTTCCCTGTGTAAGGCGACCACTGTGATTACAGTGAACTTCTCTCTGGAAGAGGTCAGGCCACAATGACATAACTGTATATGTTAGGGGCTTTGAACGCACCACAGAAGAGAGAAATGCCCTAATGTCATTTCAAAGTACATTAATAAGGCTGCTATCCCCCCCGCAAGTGTACCAGGAATACAAAATGTAATGAAAAAAACCAACCATCACTTACTCCGTTTTCCTTCTTTGCTTGTCCTCAAATATATCATTCAGGCTTATCGCCACCTGTCCCAAAAACTTGTCCAGCCCCACCAGCGACCTGTGCATGACAATCAGGTACAGGATGTATTTTTCTGGATTCTCCTGCATGAGTAATCCAGGGAGTTCGAAGGAGGCCTCTTCTTTCCAGATGGGATCCAGGGTCTTCTCGGCCACCGAGGTGGAGTACTTCTCCTTCCCCAGCTGTATGATGGTGTAGGCATCGTTGCTGCCATTTTTACCTTTCGGCTTCAGACCTTTGGCTTGAAGGACCGTAACTTGCACGTGAGTTGGGAACCACTTCTGGGCTTGCTCTGCTAACATCATCTTTGAAGATCGCAGCAGCAATAACAAACGCGAAGTCTGTCAGTCCTCGAGTGACTGCGTAAGGGCACTTAGGCGCAGACACCTGTCAGGGGCTCGGCAAGGTCCTTCCTCAGCGCTCCCCGCCGCCGGCGGCACTCCCCGCTCCTCAGGTTCCCCCCTCCCCGGGCCGCCCTACCTGCGGCTCCATGGCTGGGGGCCGCGGGGTGCCCCCGCAG